CTTCTATACTGTTTAGCACGTAGCTATTTATTATTAGCATTATTCTTCCGACGTCTGATTTCTTTTTAATTATAGGAAATGCGTTTTTCTAAGGTACATAAACTTTTGGGATTGACTGTATAGCCAATACATCCTTAAAAGTAATCTGTACCTACGCGTATACATACATATATATAATAGTTGCATTTTTATTTTATAATTACATAAAATTCGCGATCTGTCGATTGCTCAACGACTCGAAACAATCGTATTCACCTCTTAATTGGTTGATCAACGTTTCTTGGCTGGATAAATTTCCTGTTGCACTAGTTATGCTTCTGTTCGCGTTCACCAGTTTGTCCCTCAGCTCGTTCAGCTCTCTCTCCGCGATCCTATGCTGCATCTCGAGGCATTCTTTGTCCTGAACATTCGACATTCTTTAAGCTATTCATTTAATTACTCAATTTATTGATATCCGTTAAGTGGTGCGACAGAATGAATATCATAAATAATAATAGTCAGTAATAATTGTCAGTGAACATTAAAAGAACTCGTCGCTCATTGAACTGAAATCACCTGTCTGAGGCGATCCAGCTCGATCAACTGCGAGGACACTTGTCGCTGCAGTTGTTCTTTCTCGGTGGCCGTGCGGTCGAGAGCGTCCCGACAGCTTCTGAAATCGACCTCGACGGTAGACAATTGGGTCTCGACGTTCGTGCTCTTCGCGCGGAGACGGTTCGCCTCTTGGACCAGTTCCTCGACTTTGTGAATCACGATTTCCGGACTGGGGTGAACGGCTTCGCGGTACTCGATGCTCAACGCGTTCGCCAGTTTACGCGCGAACTCCTTACCATCAAATATGCATCGGGGCATTTAATAATCGATGCGCGAGTCGAGCGCGGATGGTTCTGAGAGTCAAACCTGATAACTGGAACGAGCACGTTCCTTCAGCTCGATCTCCTCCGACGCGCTCTGCTCGAGGTGTCGTATCTTCTTCTCGTACTCGCGAATCTTCTCCTCGTGATACTTCAAATCCCGTTGCAAACCCTGCATCGTGATCTCGTTTCTGCCCTGGCTCGCATACAGATGCCTCTCACGTTCCTCCAATTCCTGCACCGATCCATCATTAACACTAGAATTGCCAAACTCAAAACGATGGTTTCTCAACAGAAACAAAATACAGATACAAAGTGTCAAATTATCTGACTATTCAATTAAAAAATGCAGAATTCGAACGAGGAATAGACCACCTGTATGCGTTTTTTTAAACTAAGAACGATCGAGTTCTGTCTGGCCGATTGCTCGCGAAGTTGATCAGCCTCCACTTGCAGCTCCAAAACCCGTTGGTCCCTGGCCCTCATCAAATTCTTCATCTCCTGGAGCTAGAAGACAATCCTGATTAATCGAACGATCTACGTTCATCGATTTTCGTTTTTTTATACCTCGGACATAAGTCTGTCTCGTTTGTACTCGAGAGCTGCCAGCTCGCTCCTCAACGTAGTCGTCAGGTCGTGCGCCATTGCTTCTTCCTGGATGATCTACGGTCGAAGATCAACCGTGAGCAAGTACCAAAATCGTTTGATTTCACGTCGATTCAACGAATCGAAAAATGAACGCAGTGAGGAGCGAAACGGAATTATGTTTTAATAATTCTTTCATTTATTTCACAATTCGCTGCTGAGAGCGAGATATCACGGGTTAGAACAAAGCGTACACACTGGTACGTTAAATATATGTCTACAAATCATGTATCATAATAAAATGGTCCGTCCTTTCGTTACAACGATTTTACTCTTGCGCTCTTTACATCGTCGAAGCGAACGCGAATTTAATGTCAGACGCTTTGTGTTCTATAATAGAAATTGTCGGTTTTCAATTCCTCTGTTGTTAGATTGAAGTTAAAATTGGAACGGGAAAATTCGTTTCGCATTTCGCGGGCAGGGAAGAAAGCGGAGCGGGCGAGGGGGTGGAGGTTCGAGGGAGCCACTGATAAAAGCGACAGGTAGAATCGATTCCGTGGAACGCTATGGCAACCGTGCCAGCCCTTGTTTCATGCGCCAGTCAATACGTTCAAGAGACGCACAATATGCGGACGGTATTATGTACATTACGTAGGTACGATGAACGCGCAAACGAACGGGACCAGATTCCTCTGGTATCTCATGGTTACCTATGTAGATTCACATCTACGTAAATCCGTGTGTCTGTAGTGAACCGATATAGAAATAATCTCAGGCTTATTCTATAAACAGGAATTACGTAATTGAATAGTTGAGTCGATTTGTGATTTTAATAAACGAATATAATAATTCGTATTTCCATACTCCACGACTTTTCTCATTTTTTCGTACTGCTGACTCTCCTGGGAATGAAAGTGTGCAAAGACTTTGATAATAAATCAACGAAGCTGTGTGTCAAACGGCAGGAAAGCGTATGTGGGAGTAGGAGAAGTATTTCGTTTCGATTCTCGATCTCTGATTTATTTTCTACTAGCAAAATATTTCTACGTCGTTAGCATAAATTGGTGGAAAGTACAAGCGGTGCACCAGTAACGGCCCTGTGAAACATGAAATTGTGCGATTGGAAACGACCTTTCGTGGCGATGATATGCAAAGCGTGTCGAACATCTGTAGGTCCTCTTCTACGATATCCTTCTTCTTTTCATCCCTCGCCTCCCTGATTTCTTTCGTTTCCTCCTCGCTCGACATGTTGAACCCGTTCGACCTTTGCCCTTTCACATCTGCCGTACACTTTACGCCCCCGACTCGAGCCTCAAAAGAGATTTACTCCGTTTATCGACATTCTTATTTGGTGATGAACCGTTCGTAGCGACGCGTTCGCACGAACGCAACGGCCGGGGGTGGAAAAGCGAAGACGAGAAGCGTCGGTGCGCGACGGACTCCCTCGCGCGCTCGCCTCAAGACAATCGAAATTCATCGATCCGCGGAAACGACTCTCGCTCCTTTCGAACTTTCCTTCGCGTGTGAAAGGGAACGTCTTTTCCCGAACGGATGAAGGCCTTGTAATTTTACCTACGCGAAATATTTCATCCGCATAATAATTTATCAACGAGTCATCCTCTGTGGTAATTTGTAATACATCGTTGTCAAACACTCTACAGGTTGTGTGTCATCTTTGTTTTAACAAGAATTACATTTCCGTAATTAATTTGTTTCTGATAAAGCTAGTTATCACTGGGATTAAAAAGCTCATTTTTCTAATCCTCACAGATAAGATTGCCTAGATTAGTTTTGATGATAATTCTAGAACAGCTGTGACTAATATGATAAGAATGAATAAAAAAGTATTTGAACAATTGAAATGAGTTGATGGTCTGAAGACGTTAAGTTCGATGGGTACTCGTATGGCACACATTTTTGTAATTACAGATAAAAGTTTATTGTTAATAAATTGTTAATGATCCTCTATTTGTAAAGTCATTACCGATCCATCACGTATCTGAAATTTGACAACGGCATTTTATCTGATTACACCTGCGATAAAATACGTATCACTGGGAAATAAAACAGTTTACAGCAGTAATGAAATTATCAATGACGATAATAATTTTTAGTTGATCGATGAATCTGACGAAATGATAAATGTAATGAACATTAAATCGTCGTTAAATATTCCATGCCACGAATGAAAATTACATTAAATTAATTTAGACGTATTAACTGTATGCATATTTAATATGATATAAAATTCTATTTATGTACTTAATTATAATTAGCAAGTATAAAATGATAATGTAATTGTTTGTGCAGGTGATGTATAAATAAAGAACAATCAGTCAATCCTAATTAAGAAAGCCCGACAGGAAGCGTTCGCGTATTGAGTGCATAATAGCCTGGGGCGGGGCAGACAATATAAATACAGTGTGCAGAATTATTAGCTATGAGTCATTTTAATTGCCGCGATTTTAGGACCACTGATTAGGAACTTTAGGGTGAAATAATTAATACCCAATTAATATGCTCAAAGATACTCATTTAATTCATTCATTATTCAATATCTTATTTATTTTAAACAGTAATTTTCAATTTTCTTATCTTTAAGTCAGCGATTTAGTGATGAAAGGTAGGAAAGCTGTGACCCTGGAGTAGACACCGGGGAATCCTCTCTCAGCACATCCATAGCCAAAAGACACTACTCCAATTTCATAGTACGTCGTATTCATAGGTACTACCAGTGGCCCTCCGCTGTCACCCTGAAATGAAATACACAGTTATTAACTCGAATTTCGAAATAAATAACAAATCATAGTCTGCATCGTACTTGGCAAGAATCTTTTCCTCCAACTTCATATCCGGCACACATCACGCGATTGTCAATAACTACGTCGCTAAAAATTCCGTATGCTTTCTTGCAAATATCATTCTTGAGCACGTCCACTTGTACCTCTCTTAATATGGGACTTCCCGGGCCATCTGCAGTCATTGTAGAAACAATGTATGAAACATAGGTTCATGCATTTAAATATTGAACATATTTACCGAAGTGCGTTGCTCCCCAGCCCGCAATGAATGGATGAGTGCCCACGAAATCGCTGCTTTTGAGGGGCTCGTTTTTGGGTAGGCAAACCGGGTGTATCGCATCTGACAAATGAGTATGTGCAATAAACCCAGGACGAGACTGTCTCGTTTATTTTATATGATTTTTAATATTCTCGGGACTTACCTGTAAACGTTATGTCCTTCGATAACTTGAGAACGGCTACATCGTTCAGATGCTCGCCATCAACGTAATTCGGATGCACTGTTATCTTATCCAGTGTAACTGTAACGGGATTCGCCCCGTCTGTAGTGCTAATCAGGTCTAACTCGCCAAGTCGAACGAATTTTAAATAACCCTCCTCTATGCAATGAGCAGCAGTCAGCACGTGTCTGGATGTTATTAGCGAGCCACCGCACATCCATCTTAAGGGATGAGTTTTGTTCTCGTAACCGAGTACAGCGATCCATGGCCATGCATCTAAACAATACATTATCGATTTCTTAAATGCTACTGCCCACGTTATATTTTTAGAATGGAATTTAAACATGAAATAATTAATAAATAATGATCAGAAGCCGTAGTAGGATAAAAATAACACGTACTAAGTTTCGATGGGACACCATTCACTATTTTCGGATGCCTGACATTGCTATATCCACACTGCGGGGCGTCCAAGAGTTTATATGTTTTTCCTTTATAACAAAACGATGTGTCAGTTCATTAAAATTAATCAATTTCATTCTTTCATTTGAAATACCTTGAACGGATACCAAGAGTATCATTGAATACAATAGCCCGATCAACGCCAAATACTTAAAGGATGCATTGTAAATCATAGTGATAGGGGCGATTTCGAATTTTCGGATCGATAGAAAATATTACTTGATGAGTTATTTCTTCCAGGTGTTCCGATTTACTAAACGCACAGAAGTAAGTCGGAAGTATAAGCTGGCCGATATATACGGTTTCTAGGTAGTAAATATCAGTAATAAAATTCTTTAATTTCGTTCGACGAAATCCAGACAGGTATGAAAACGCAAAAAATATGTGTTAAACGTGTGCTATATTTTTCCGTAATTCATGAATCGTGTTCGAAGTTTGACATCGTGCGTATTAAACTTCTGCGTCGTGATGCACAAGGCAATAAAGATTAATACGATGATATCGATTTATTATACAGTTGATATAATGAAACAGCATTTGCTGTATTGAAATCATGGTTTGTGTTCGAAAGATAACATCCAGAATGGGGTACCCAATACACTTTGTAGCCATCATGTCGAGTGAAAATTGCATTTCTATCTATATTTCGTTATTTAAATCGGGACCGTGGCATGTGCTCAATTATGATGATCAAGAAGTTTAAATAATCCTTGACTCTCATGCAAGATAAATATTCTGTTGAATCTGTAAAACAACAGTAGACGACGTACCGTCACATTGTTCTACTATAGTTACGACATAATACAACGAAGGTAGTAAGTGATTCAGGTATTTATCACTGGATATTCTGGATTAATTATTAGTTGATGTGATAGTAGGAGCAATAGTTGAGATGTGTAGGGTGAAATAATTAATACCTAATTAACTACTCTAATTAACTACTCCATTTTATTCATTGGCTAATTTGACTTAAACAGTAATTTTCAATTTTGTTATCTTTAAGTCAGCGATGTAGTGATGAAAGGTAGAAAGGCTGTGACCCTGGAGTAGATACCGGGGTAGCCTCTCTGAGCACATCCATAGCCATAAGACACTACTCCTATTTCATAGTACGTCGTATTCATGGGTATCACCAGTGGTCCACCGCTGTCACCCTGAAATGAAATCAACAGTTATTAACACGAATTTCGCAACAAAATAACAAATCATAGTTTGCATCGTACTATGCAAGAATCTTTTCCTCCAACTTCATATCCGGCACATATCACGCGATTGTCAATAACTGGCCCGCGAAACCTTCCGTACGTATTGTTGCAAATATTATTATTGAGCACGTCCACTTGTACCTCTCTTAATATGGGACTTCCCGGGCCATCTGCAGTCATTGTAGAAACAATGTATGAAACATAGATACATGTATTTAAATATTGATCATATTTACCGTAGTACGTTGCTCCCCAGCCCGCAACGAATGGATGAGTGCCCACGAAATCGCTGCTTGTGAGAGGCTCATTTTTGGGTAGGCAAACCGGGTGTATCGCATCTGACAAATAAGGACGTGCAATAGTCCCAGGACGAGACTGTGTCGTTTATTTAATATGATTTTTAATATTTTCGGGACTTACCTGTAAACGTTATGTCCTTCGATAACTTGAGAACGGCTACATCGTTCACTAGCCGGCCCTTAATGTAACCCGGATGAACTGTCTTCTTATCCACTGTAAGTGTAACGGGATTCGCCCCGTCTGTGGTGCTAGTCAGGTCTAACTCGCCAAGTCGAACGTATTTTAAATAACCCTCAATTATGCAATGAGCAGCGGTCAGCACGTGTCTGGATGTTATTAGCGAGCCACCGCACATCCATTCTAAGGGATGAGTTTTGTTCTCGTAACCGAGTACAGCGATCCATGGCCATGCATCTAAACAATACATTATCGATTTCTTAAATGCTACTGCACACGTTATATTTTTAGAATGGAATTTAAACATGAAATAATTAATAATGATCAGAAGCCGTAGTAGGATAAAAATAACACGTACTAAGTTTCGATGGGACACCATTCACTATTTTCGGATGCCTGACATTGCTATATCCACACTGCGGGGCGTCCAAGAGTTCATATGTTTTACCTTTATAACAAAACGATGTGTCAGTTCATTAAAATTAATCAATTTCATTCTTTTACATTATAAGCTCGATACAGTTTTTCATTTGAAATACCTTGAACGGATACCAAGAGTATCATTGAATACAATAGCCCGATCAACGCCAAATACTTAAAGGATGCATTGTAAATCATAGTGATAGGGGCGATTTCGAATTTTCGGATCGATAGAAAATATTACTTGATGAGTTATTTCTTCCAGGTGTTCCGATTTACTAAACGCACAGAAGTAAGTCGGAAGTATAAGCTGGCCGATATATACGGTTTCTAGGTAGTAAATATCAGTAATAAAATTCTTTAATTTCGTTCGACGAAATCCAGACAGGTATGAAAACGCAAAAAATATGTGTTAAACGTGTGCTATATTTTTCCGTAATTCATGAATCGTGTTCGAAGTTTGACATCGTGCGTATTAAACTTCTGCGTCGTGATGCACAAGGCAATAAAGATTAATACGATGATATCGATTTATCATACAGTTGATATAATGAAACAACATTTGCTGTATTGAAATCATGGTTCGTGTTCGAAAGATAACATCCAGAATGGGGAACACAATACGCTTTGAAAATTTAGTCGTTTGGTAGTCATCGTGTCGAGCGAAAATTGCATTTCTGTCTATATTTCGTTATTTAAATCGGGGCCGTGACATGTGCTCAGGAAGTTTAAATAATCATTGACTATTATGATTAGGGTATATATTGGATTAATTATTAGTTGATGTGATAGGTGTAATAGTTAGGAAGTGTAGGGTGAAATAATTAATACCGAATTATCTAAGATACTCATTTTTATTCAGTGTCTTATGTACCTTAAACAGTAATTTTCAATTTTATTATCTTCAAGTCAACGATGTAGTGATGAAAGGTAGGAAGGCTGTGACTCAAGAGTAGATACCGGGGAATCCTCGTCAAGCAAACCCACAGATATATAGATGAACACAGTGGCATCGATTTATTGTAAATTTGATATAATAAATTGGAGGAAGCTCGTGACCCTGTTATTAACTCCAGGAAATCCGGATGCGGCGCATTTATAACCAGAAGATATTACTCCGATTTCATAGAACGATCCATTTATCGGTAACATTACTGGTCCACCACTGTCACCCTGAAACAATTAGAAAAATACAGAGATTGAAACGCGGTCACGATGTTAAAAAACGGGAGTTGTTCAATTACCGTGCAAGAATCTATCACACCGTTTCCACCTGTGCATATCAACCGATTATCAACGGTAATAACACGTTTGAACGCAGCAAACGCCGCGACGCAGGTTTCGGTGGTAACTACTGGTATTTGTACTTCTCTAAGTACATCGCTCGATTGTCCACCTGCGTTAAAAAGATCGGAAATAATTGAGAATCGACTATCATTCATTGATACTCACGATATTGAAGAGCACCCCATCCTGCAAGGAAGGGACTAGTGTTTACGAAGTCCCGCTCTGCAATCTCCCCCACAGGAAGACAAATGGGATGTATATTATCTAAAAATTTATTGCTTAGAAGACAACAAGCTATTATTGTCTAAATGATATGAAATTTCACAACTTCAAACCTACATGTAAATTGTACATCACGCTCCAGTCTGAGGATAGCAACATCGTTTGTGTGCATACGCCTGTTGTATTCAGAATGAATGATCTTTTTCTCGAATCCCAAGTCAATGGGATGTGCTCCATCGTCGTCGCTCTTCAGATCCAAGTCCCCGAGACGAACAACGACAAGCTCGTCACGTTCCGCGCAGTGGGCAGCCGTTAATACGTGTCTGGCCGATATAAGAGAACCACCGCATTTCCATTCCAATTCGGAAGTTGGAGTGTCTTTAAATCCTAGTGCAGCTATCCAGGGCCATGCGTCTGTGATCAAATTTTGTTGGGTGTAATGAATTAATCGCTTAATCAAGAAACGAAGTTTATAATAAGACATACTGAGTTTCGCGGCAACCCCACCGACTATCTTCGGGTGGGAGACGTTACTGAAACCGCACTGAGGTGGAAGCAGAGGTCCATACAAGTTTTGTCTCATCGTCATTCCCGGTTTGCCGGGGCAACAAACGGTCTGATTCTTGCCCTCCACATGACAGATGAATTTCCTTACGAAATCAGTCCCGTTTTTGCCTTCTCTTCGCAGCAATTCTAGCAGAGGCTTGCAGTCTCTAATATCGATACATGTCCCTGCCACTTGAGTCGGTGTCATGCATTCTGTAATTCCTTTTATTTGGTAAATTATTCACAGATCATAAGAGACGTACGAACCTTGAGATATTGCTAGCTTTAGTGAACTGATTAACATCAGACACATAAAGAACACTGTGGATTCCATTTTTGTTTTCTGAAATGAGAAAAGGCATACGAGTTTCCAGTATTTATATCTACGATTCATTAATTAATTTGCAAATACTGTCGATGATAATTATTTCTTATATTTAGTTCGAAAGTTTCGCTGGTAAATAATGAAACACAGGAAAGAAATTAACGCAGATATCAATTTATTTGTATAAATGTAAGAAATTGGAAGTACATTTCGTCTACACTTTTAAAAAATAGATTTTTCCTTACCTTCTGCACGTTCCTATACTGGAAATTCTATACTTACCGAAACAGTGAGATTTGAAAATTGTATACGCACTGGCTACTATATATGGTTCTTTATAGTACGTTTTGATAATTAAATTTTTTTATTTCGTACTATAAAACGTGTACGCGTATTGAAAGCACGACAATATTTATCAAATGTGTACTATACTGTCTGAAAATGTTCGTTTCGTGCGCATTAAATTTCCACGTCGTGGTACGTGAGACTATAAAGATTAATACAAGCAGAAATAGGGTGTCCTCGTTTTATTGTAGAAATATTATATATAGTATATAATACAAATATTCTTAAGTCAACTACAAAATTGAACATACGATCACATTGCTTTATTGTAGATTCGATATAATAAATTGAAGGTAAGTCGTGACCCTGGTACTCAATCCCGGATATCCGACCACAGCGCACAGAAAACCACCCATTACTACACCGAGTTCATAATACGATCCATTTATCGGTAACATTAATGGTCCACCACTGTCACCCTGAAATAATTATAAAAATATGAAAACGTCGAAACGTAATCATGAGACTGATGATCAGAGATGATTTCATTACTTTGCAAGAATCTTTTCCACCTGTTCCACCTGTACATATCAATGATTTATAATTTTTAATGGTTGAAGCTCGATACGCCTTTGCGCAAGCCTCGGTGGTGATTACTGGTACTTGTACTTCCATGAGAACATCGCTGGTTTTCACATCTGCGTTAAACAAATATCAGGAAAAATGAAATATCTAATATTATTGATCAGTACTCACGAGGTGTTTGTCCCCATCCTGCGTAGAATGGATGAGTGTTCACGAAGTCTAGATGCCGAATTCTTCCCGCCGGGAGGCAATGAACTGGGAATTATTATTCAAATATATTATGGACCTTCAAGCTTACACGTGAATTGTATCTCACGGTCGAGTCGGATGATAGCGATATCATGCCCGTACGTCTCTTCGAATTTAGGATGAATGATCTTTTTGTCGATTCCAACGTCAATTGGATGTGCCCCGTCGTCGTCACGGACCAAGTTCAACTCCCCGAGACGTATGACGAATAGATCACTGCGTACCGCGCAATGGGCAGCGGTTAATACGTGTCTCGCCGATATAAGAGAACCACCGCACATCCATTTTATTTCGGAAGTTGGAGTTTTTCTAAATCCCAGTGCAGCCATCCAGGGCCATGCGTCTGATATCAAATTTTGTTGTGTATAATGAATTAATTGCTTAATCCAGAAACGAAGTTTATGATCAGACATACTCAGTTTCGCTGGCACCCCTCCGATTATCTTTAGGTGGGAGACATTACTGAAACCGCACTGAGGTGGAAGCAGAGGTCCGTACAAGTTTTGTCTCATCGTCATTCCCGGTTTGCCTGGGCAACAAACGGTCTGATCCTTGCCCTCCACATGACAGATGAATTTCCTTGTGATATCAATCCCTTTTTTGCCTTCTCTTCGCAGCAATTCTAACAGAGGCTGACAGTCTTTAATATCGATACATGTTCCTGCCACTTGAGTCGGTGTCATGCATTCTGTAATTCCTTTTATTTGGTAAATCATTCATAGATCATAAGAGACGTACGAACCTTGTGATATTGCTAGCCTTAGGGAACTGATTAACATCAGACACGTAAAAAATATGGTAACTTTCATTTTTGTTTTCTGAAATAAGAAACGGCATACGAGTTTCCAGTATTTATA